AAACGGACCAATAGATTCACTAGACTCGTTACACTTCAGGCAGCCAATCACGTCAGAAGATAACAGATGGCCTTTGACTGCTATATAAACACACGCAGGCAAGGAAGAAGTACTCCCCCAACTGCGCGCTGATGATGTCTCCTCGTATGGTGACGAAACGTTTGCAAGCCAATTGCCAAACTCGGCGAACTAATCAACAGCCATCTGATCAGCAACCAATAAACTAGCGTTTATGAACGCAGCGTAATACCTCTTACATTTTAGACAATTGCACTACAAGTACAGTGGCCCGCGGCAAGCGAGTCTTAGCGCTTGCATCAAATAGTTGATAACTGCACTCGATAACGCTGGATGTAAGACGGAGGAACACGTTAACCGGGAGAAATCAAGAATTGGCCTATCGGTACTCAGTGTCTTTGCAGTTAGAACAAATACTTATAGAACCTCGTTACCCATCAATGTACCCAAAAATTGTTTGTTTATGCTGATCAAGGGAAACATTTTCAGCAGCTTACAAACAGCCATCAAGAGCGTGGACACTTCTAGCTGTAAGATTTGGAAAACTAACTAGTTTTTTGGAGGACTCTGCTGAAAAACATGTTCCATTCGTTGGTCTATATTGCACAATGAGAGCTAGTTCCTTCATAGAACATTCCGGCTAAGAGCCTTGGTGTGATCTCTCAGAAACAAGCGACTGTAGCTCCTTGAAACTTTGCTGGTTTCTTCTGCTCTGCCCTGTTCGGTGATGTTCGATAAGGCTAGTCCACAAGCGATTCATCTAGCTAAATTTTCAACACATTCGTGATAATCGAACACCAGTCTGGCTAGACACGTATTGCCAGAGGAACGACTTACGCAAACAGTGTTTCTTCTCCTCGTTTGACAGAATATCACAGCTAGAGGCGATAATTCTCGTTTTCTGATTGAAATACCACTGGACAGTCCCCGGAGGATTCGCAAACACGGTACAAGAAAGAACCGTATTCATACCAAGGCTCTGTTTGATCACGCGGTTGGCCATTTGTATATCTGGAGGGACTGTTTGGAAGGAAGAATTTATTTGCATGCGTTGAGTTTGCGTAACGAGTTCGGATGATTACTGCTGACACACAGCATAGAATCTGGGTTTTTTAATATCCGACTACTAGTACGTCATACGGTGTTATCAGGAAACTACCAAGTGAGGAAAAGGTAGAACCGGATGATGGCACTTTGGAGATATGCGGGTAGCCTGTCGTTGCCAGCAGTCTTCCTCTCTTATGAACCGTCCCCGACCCTATACAACTTGCCGCTTTGTTCCATAAAACCTGTTATGTGTTGGCTGTTTGACTTCATGCTTAGCACAATGGTACCAGTGAAAGGAAGAAGGCCTTCCTTGCGGACTTACTTGTTGGAAAATGTCAACTGAGCAGTTACAGACTATTGGACAGGGAAACAAAACTCTCATATGCATCTTGTTTACAAAAACGGAATAATCATCTTCTCCTTGAACGCACCTTTCTGAATGTCCCTGGATATTCATTGACTGTTGCTCAAACCCAAGCAGATGCTACAAGGCGACTCCACAAACTCCCTAATAGATCTCACTTTTCAAGAGATGCAAAGCAGATTTACGAGAAAACATTCTACTCGCGTACCCTCCCATCAGTAGTATCACCGTCACACCAGTATGTCTCTCTTCGATAAGACACAGCTTTAGGTATGTGGTGAATAACAGTAAATATGGTTGGATCAGTACTTTTGTGAAACTTCTATCCATAATGTCGTGGATGATAAAAACGGCTCAGCACCAACTCAGACGGGATTAGAAAGAAAGTTGTACGCTTCGGGAAAATTTACTGTAACGTAGTCTGAAGCCTTTGAAGGATAAAAAAAGCGTTCAGCTGCAACACCCTCCCGGTGCCTAGCTGCCATGCTACCCGAAGGAAGCACGAGGGCTGGGATACTGCCAGGTTGCCGAAGCCTAGACAGGGGAAGTCTAGTGGCGGAGGTCGGACTCAAACCACGGACCTTCCGGTCAGTAAATTCGGGGACTTCGGCCATCTCGCCCCCTTTCAAGAATAGATAAAACAATACGTTCTTGACAAACTCTTGTTTTCTGACCCAAACTAGACGTCAGTAAGTCGAAGATCTTATCAAACATTTTCAACTGTTACCTGATGAGAATTGTTCGAACAATCTATGAAATAATTTTGCAAACTTGAGAACTGGAGTGGATTCATTTGGAGTTTAGCTTGAAAAGATTCCTGCAACCCTTTCGAAAACAAAAGCTGTAAAAGCATTCTGGTTGATCAGTAGATCAGAAGAGAATATTCTGATCAAGGCCCAGCTTGCTTGAGAAGTTGTCTTTTATATTAAATTCATTTAATTAATGAGCGATAATCAATAAAATTGAAGACAAAATTTGAGAAAAAAACCATTTTATGGGGAATGATCTACCCGGTGAACCTTGTTAAACCTTAGTAAGGTGGAGAGAGGGTTTTAATACCGAAAACGGGCTGTAAGGACGATGACTGAAGGGTACTGAACTGGATTGAATTCATAAGACGTCTGGCGTTGTGTGGTTCCTGATCTACCTGAAAGCATGCGCCAGCTTCGAAGTGGGGTCTTGATTACCAAAGATAACTAGTTAAGCTTGTCAATTTGAAAAGCCACAATTTTTTGAGTGGCAACAAAATAAACAGTAGCGGTATGAAACTACAATTTCTTTCGCAGAACTCACATCTTACTGACAGCTCTAGCGTTGTCGTGTCGTCTGGAAGGACGCCGTTCTGTGCCACACAAACAAGGTAACCATTCATGTTGCGGTGTAACTTGGTGATCCAAAGTGTACCGTTTAGAGAAAGAATCTCTAGTGGGTGGGGGGTAGGGACACAGGACGGAAACAAAGACAAACGATTATAGACGGTTATGAAGAAATTTGTGTAGAACACAAATCCGTTTCAAACGTGTTTGGCTTCGGGACTCGTAGAATCATTTTACAAAATCTGCAAATAAAATACGCAGGAGTCCAGTGGAGATATTAACCAATTAAAATTCAACAATAGAAGGAAAATTTTCCAGAGCGCTTGCAGGTATAGCGCTAGTCTTTGATTCTCACAACGAAAAGTCAGTTACCAGCGGCGTAAATTTTATCGAAGCAACACATTGCCGATTGTAAACGGAAATGTAGCATATTTACCTCTTATTATATTACTAAAAAAGAGAAAATATCATCAATATAGTAAAAATGAAAAACGAATTTTTCTGGGATAACGAACAACAATGTCTTTTACAACATGCAATCATACTTACGCCCGGCAAAATCAGAAAACTTTTCTGTTACTGGTATCAAGTCTTGAAATGTTTGGTTCCGTTGATCTGGTCTTGCAAACATGTTTGGAGATCTCTTGCTCACGAACCATTTTGTTTGAGGGTTTGGATATCCCTTTGCAGCGCAGGTAATTTCCAGACTCGCCCCTTCATCAACTTTGAGAAATGGGACTGGTGATCGCGTGATCTTTGGGGGAACTTGGATAACATAGATATAATTGAAATAATGAAAAAAACGATTAAAGTAATCTCCAGCAGTGTCAACAGCCTGAGTATTCAGAAGATTGAAAACAACCAAACGAAAACGGCAAGGGTTGAAACATTACGAAGTGTTACATTTTAATGGACAGAATCTCCAATTTGGTGGCTACAACCGAGGAGCTATCAAGCTGAGTTGCCCGGGTGGCAACTCTGCTCAAAATACTGACTGCTCGCTATATTTTCAAGTGTTTTACTAAATATCCTTATACAGACGCGTATGTCGAGGTCTATTACGTTTGCATATCTTCAGTTCCAAATGTGCAGAGTGACGACTTGACTCTGTGTGAAGATAAAAGAAAGTAGAACAGATACCAGTTCATTATCCCTTCAACGTGACGAGCCTGTATGGAATGCTGTCTGCACCGCCAAACCACATCTGAACACTAAATTTTGTGAACTTTTGTCCAAAAGCAAGTGTTTGACGTCTACTGCCTAAGCGGGGCTTACTAATGGACATTGTAAGTAGTCCGTTTTGTGCTGTAGCACAGCAGATTCAAAGGGGCTCTCAGGTTGGTGAAACTTTCCGCAGTTTACCGTACTGCCTTCCACAAGTTTGGAGAGTGGCGTGTGTTCAGAGCAATTGTACCATCACGTCAAAGAGCCACGCTTGAGGAGTTAAGGTTTTCACCAAATGTGCTTTGGTTATATCTCGCCTCCGATAAACATTCCGCAGGGTCGTCATGTTGGACACAATGGTGACACTTACAAGTCTTCGGACGGGATAGGCGTAAAGTATTCCAACAGACCGTGGGTCCGTTCCACGAATAACAAGGCACAGTGTGCACCGCGTGTACATCATATTCACTTCAGAGCAGATTCAGATCTTATTCATCAATGATGTACTATCTTTCGTGGTTCCTGAAAGTTGTAATTCACCGACAGTTTCTGCAATGTGACAACGCTTCAGCTCGCTTCGTTCTGAAGTTACGTGAGATCGTCTGCGAGTGAGCTCTGTCCCAGAGATAGATGGGCTAAAATGTTAAAATTAATTCACCGACAGTTTCTGCGATGTGACAACGCTTCAGCTCGCTTCGTTCTGAAGTTACGTGAGATCGTCTGCGAGTGAGCTCTGTCCCAGAGATAGATGGGCTAAATATGTTAAAATCTGCGAACCCCGTGCGAAAACAATAGTTTGCAAATGAGTGTATTCCGCCAATTTCGTGCAATTTGGTTTGGAGTAGAACATTAAGTTGACAAAAACTCGGGGACCGCGCCCACTTAATGAGTCCCAAGAAGGGCGAAACAGGTCGTGGGCTGTCGAAGAATTTTCACCAAACTTTTGAGTAGTGCATTGCGAATAAACAAGGAAATGTTACCAGGAAAATAGTAAAAGGGAGGAAGAACATTTAGTGGAACTTTTAGTTTTAAAATCAAAGGCGGTTGAACATGACCACTCTGACAAATAGGCACATCGTCCTTATTAACTCTGCTGATCTGCTTGATTTCGGTAAACTCAAAGTATTCTCCATAAAAACTCAATGTATTACTGACAATTTTGGATATTATTGAACGTTGGAAGTCACCTCAACATTTCAAGTACGATCTCTGTTTGTGTGTAAACCAATATTCTCGGTGACTCATTGATTGATCTATGAGGCTCTCAGAAAGCCTTTTATATAGTGAAGGTCGATTACATACGAGTGCAACTGTGAGTAGTATTCACGGATCGACCGAAGCAGCGTTTCTCTACCATGTTTTCTGTCAGGCTCTATTAATAGCGAAATATCGCAAGCTAGACAGGTCTTCTGAATCGGCAATACGAATAGTCGAGTACACAAGATGATAAGATGTCTAAAGAAGGTCGAATATGCTCCAATTTAAATAAAAACTAATCGAAAGCCGTGATCGACCCATAACCATATGAGAGGTTCAAGAAGATTCTAACACTTGTTTTAGCATTCTGAAGTCTATGTATTGAGGAAATTTACGAAAGCAACACATGGGACTTCACGGCATGGATAGTGAAGGGTCAGCCCCTCCGTGCTGTCTTTCGACATTAGGTAATGCAACAAACAGTGACATAGCATGGCGTTTTCAGTTGGAGCGCTGCACTATATGCAAGAACATGACCAGAGTAACACCGTCTTGCTTCAATATTTTAGTCAAAATTTTCCCAGTCGTGATTCACTCACTTTGTTGTTTTGTTTCATTGTTGCTCATATCGCTGGACTGCTCGTGTCTGTCCGTGCTTCAAATGTCGGAATGACCCTTCCTTAGTTCGTACTTGATCTTCGTAGGTTAGTTTAAGGCAGTTGTTAGCCGCACACTCACCGGTATAAAACAGAATATATTTTATGGTAGTGACCTTGACTAAGAGAGAAAAACCTTGTTCCATCTGATTCTGTTCGGAGTGTGCCTCTGGCAGGAGTTCAGAACATGATAGTGGTTTTCTAGTTGTCTAGAACCATGTTCACCAGTGTTAAACGGTAACTTGAAAGTTACAATTGCTTAATTAAGAAGAATTGGAACCCTGTGTTTAGTAAACAACTAAAGGTCCTAGGCCCTGAGATGGGAATTCCTAGTATGCCTAATGAATAGATATTCCTTTGGTTGGAATTCAGCAGCCAAACTCAGAGACGCAGTCATCGATTATGTATGTGTTTCGACTCCTAATTTCTGGAGCTCTACAGAGCTGCTTGTTCGCCTGATATGTGCTTCTTGTTGCTAAATAATAAACCAGCTTTTAATAAGCCATAATTATAAAATAACCGGTTGCTTTTACTGTCTAAATAAAGAAGCAGCGTCACTCAGAGGGTGGACACTTGAGAAATCCAGTAATCTGCATAAATCATCTGGGAGAGAACAGATCATTGCCTTGAAAAAAGTATAAATACGGATGTGTTCAGCATACGCTGGTGCGTTGACAACCGGAGGTTTTTAGCCTTATGGCGACACTTTGGATCATTTTTCATAGACCTGTTGGCAAGCTACCGCTGAGTTCCTGCCAGAGGGCGACTATAGTTTGATTATAACTTATTCGAGTTAAGGAGAACTACACGGCCAAAATACTACTCCACAAAAAAGTGATTTGCTTCAGTTCCATCAAATTTTTACATAGAAACACGGAAAATGATAACGGAAGTTGATTAAGGAGAATCACCATCAGAATTTGCAAACTTGGACTTACGGAGGACCTTAAGAGTGACGGTCCGTATGTACACGTTATTTTTTAGCGTGATCGCACACCGATACTCCCCGGCGTCTTCAAACAAAACTGGATGGATGAATAAGCTGAAGTCACGTCGTTTCAACAGGACCTGAAATGAGGTCAGAAACGAAGTGGTATTGGAGAAATACACTCAGTTTCAAAAAATAATTTGGTCTTCATGAGAGACTCAACTGAATCTCTCGTTTATGTTATTCTATAACTGAATGTGCTGCACACAGGCCGCCTCGTGATTTAGTTGACACGATATTCTAGATATCGCAGTATATGTTGATAGAGGAAACTACTCACAAGGTTGCTGAAAACTCTTCGACAGCCCACGACCGGTTTCGCCCTTCTTGGGGCTCGTCAGGTAGGCGCAGTCCCCGAGGTTCCGTCTGCTACTTGACATCTACTTGACATCTACTTGACATTCTACTCGATGTTCTACTTGGTAATCAGTTTCTCCAGATTTATGGGGCAGAACATTTGCAAAAGGCATCCCTTCACAAAATATATGTCATACTCATCAAAATGTATTGTTAGCTTGAATGAGTGGCACTTTGATTGGGTAGCTCAGTTGGCCAACCGGATACAAGAGCGGAACTTGTGTAATTTCAGCAAGTTAATTCATTTGACACTTATTTCACTGAATATACTACATTATCTGGGACCGCATACAATAGAACAGAGATTACTTTTCATATAAATGGGGTCGTAGTACGCGAAAAAAGCTCGAAAAAAAGTTTTAAAATTCCATAAAATGTTTCTGCATACTAGATTCGTATTTCAACTCACAGCGCCGGTTGCACAGAAATGGGCAGAAGTGTGTACTCGAAGGTTGATAAAAATGAAGGGTTGACAACAACGACGTGACGCCTTGCATGCGCTGAGAACGAGGATACCGCACTCAGTGTTGAATAAATACTTTTGAAGAAATTGCAGAAAGTGGTCGCTCGGGTCGGTTGCAACACGATGTTTTTAGAGTGTTGTCGGTGCATAACTGGTTAATAGCCACATCAGCTTCAAGGTATCTGATAATGGCACTGATGAACCCATAAAAAACGCCATGAGAACCTAGCGAAAGACGCTCGTTTTCAAACTAATTTTGTTCTGTGAGAGACTCACTTGGAACCCAGCTGAATCTCTCGTTTGTGATGTTCTCAGGCAACTGAATGTGCTGCACCAGGCCGCCTTATGTTTCAGTCGCTACGATATTCGAGATATCGCGATACATGTATGTTCGTAATGCACTACTTATAGTGTTGCTGAAAATTCGTGGACAGCTCACCAGGTAGGCGAAGTCCCCGAGTTTCCGTCAACTTTATGTTCTACTTGAAACCACATTCATCGAAGTTAGCGAAATACACTCATTTGCAAACTAATTTGGTTTAGCGAGAGGCTCACCTGAAACCCAGCTGAATCTCTCGTGTGAGTGGTGCCTTACGAATATAAATGCATCGTGATATCTCGAATATGCTAGCGACTGAAACATGAGGCAGCCTGGTGCAGCACATTCAGTTGCCTGAAAACATCAAAACCGAGAGATTCAGCTGGGTCCCAGGTGAATCTCTTGTGAAAACCATATTGGTTTGCAAATGAGTGTAGTTTGCTAATTTCGTGCATTTTGTTTTTGAATAGTACATNTCTCTCTAGAGAACCGAATTAGTTTGCAAATGAGTGAGTGTCTATTGGCTAATTTGGTGCAATTTGGTTTGAAGTAGAACATAAAGTTGACGGAAACCCGGGAACTGCGCCTACCTGATGAGCCCCAAGAAGGACGAAACCGGCCATGAGACCCCCTTTTGATAAGTTTCACAGAAGTTCAGCGTCAAACTAGTTGTCAAAAATAATTGATAAAGGTCTAGGTGATGCCGAATGAAGATGACAGCAGACAGAGTACCGATGAGAGTGACCATAAGATAAGATTTATTTCGCTGAACTACAAGTCAGCATTACCACCTTAATTCCGTAGAATAACGTACATTATTTTTTCTAACATTGTACGTGTAGTCCCATGTCCTAAGGCTGGTCGGCTAATCCACAGGGTTAGCTCTACCTGAATTTCAAGTTCTTTTGTTGCATTTTCACCTTGTATCCTGATACCCGAGTTTAGCCAATCTATCGACCTTGAGAGCGTTCGACATGCCTTTATGTTTGGGAATTCCGGTAAAAATATTTCATCCCACATAATATACGAAAAACCTCGTAGAATGAGTTGGCTTTAGCTGGCACAATGCCGGTAGCCGAGAGAGTGGAACAGTTTACCTACATGGTTCAACCAGTGCACTGATTTACGCAGACACTGATCCATTTTCAGAACTCTGCCTTGAAACGGATGTTTGACACACTTCGGCAATAGTCCAATGCTGAACACCAGGCTCAGGGTCGGACTACCGGTCCATTAATCCGCCAATTGTCAGCAAGCGATGTAGGTCACATGACTCGGTGCCTATCCGGAAGAACTGATGAGCGCATTCGAGGATGTTTGACTACTGAACCAGCCACGTGAGTAACCAGCGCGAGTTCCTCTCATTCAAACGATGCTACCCATCAGATTAGTGTGGCGGAATGGTTCAGAATGACTTAACACATGCTGCCAAATCGTTCTAAAAGTGTNGAACCAGCCACGCGAGTAACCAGCGCGAGTTCCTCTCATTCAAACGATGCTACGATTAGTGTGACGGAATGGTTCATAATGCATTACCACATGCTGCCAAATCGTTCTAAAAGTGTGCCCCAAACAGCAGTGGAAACATCTGAGGAGATTGCTATCTAGTCAAATGACGCCGCATGGGGGACTTGAGACAACCGTGGCTCACCAACTAGACATCAGCAAGCAAATCGATCGATCGATTTTTCTAGAACTCGTTCAAATATTTCAGCATCCTTTATGGTCCTGTTTCATATTTTATAGGTGTGTTTGTCAAATGACACGCTATTGAAGCCGTATGTTCGCAAACTCTGTGTCTTGATAATCGATAGCAGCGTAAGGTGAACACATTTCGGTGGAATTCAGCGTCTTCATTCTAAAGATGCATGTTATCATGTGTAGCCTGGTTGCAAAACACCTTTACTGCAGTGGCCAAAAATAGTCAACCGTTCAAATCCAACATTTCTATGCATTACGACGTCCAGGGACCTGTGTGTTTAGTTAAGCGATTAGTATATTCTTTCTACTTATTTAAGAGAAGTAGGATAATCACCTAAAATTATGCAACCTTGTTTTAGACATATTCTCGTGAAGAATAGCCCGGGTACCAAAAACCTAGGAGAAAAACGTCAGGAACGGGGTCCTCATGGATCTGCGAGTCATTTAGAAAACTGGAGCTAGTGTAGAGGTCACTCATCAGATCACGCAGCACAAACACTCAATCCACGTGACAATTCCTGTCCCACTTTCAACCTCGAACAAAACAGGTACACTGCAACTTCCCATCCATTTTTGTTTACACGGCTAACACTTGCGTCACGCGCCATGAGTATGAACTTCCTTCAACACATCAGGTCAAATTGTTTTCATGTTAGTGCAAGCATCAAACAGGAAGGGACACCCGTCTGTTCACAGTGCACACAATAAATAAACATACAACTAGTCTCAACACACACACACACACTTGCGCGCACAGAACAGAAAGTCAACAGAGCCCCACAAGTTTCCACGGACAACTTCGGAATACGTGTATCAGCTATACTGCAGAGAAGACACGTCCCGCGTCCGGAACTTCACTCAGGCACTCCCAACAAGTGTCCTCAAACAATAAGTCACTTGTTTTGGCTTATTCCACTTTTCGCAGCCTTTTTTTATCAAGTACACCTAACTATTGTATTCATCACATTCTAGTAAAACAGATAATTGTTGGTGCTTGTTACCTTCTGATGATCAACTTAATTACGTCACACTAACACTAGCAAGCGTTTTGACATATCCAAATTCGATTACTCTTATTGACTACAAGATCAATAAATGTAGTGTACATTTTTTCATTCTGCTTAATGTTTTAGTGGTTTGGTGCCATGCCACTGTACAACATCAGAAAGGTAGTACTGGATCTTGCGCCACCCCTCCCCAGGTACTTTTAATGGACGGTACTCCAAGGGTAGACCTTACCCGGAATAAAAGCTTTCAGCAGGTTTTCAATGTAAATTTCACATAAATGGCGTAGTCTTGTAAGTTGTTGATCAGGTGGCTTTTTATCTGTTTGCCAAACATGGCAATGGGCTTGCAAACGTTTCATCACCATACGAGGAGGCATCATCAGTACGCAGTTAAGTGGGTACTTCTTCCTTGCCTGAGTGCGTTTATATAGCAGTCGAAGGCTATCTGTTACCTTCTGACGTGATTGGCCGCTGAAGTGTAACGAATTTAGTGAATCTATTGGTCCGTTTGTGAACTTTGTTGCGTTGTGGTCCGTGTTCTTTCCACAATGCAACGAAGATCACAAACGGACCAATAGATTCGCTAAGTTCGTTAAACTTCAGTGGCCAATCACGTCAGAAGATAACAGATAGTCTTCGAACGCTAAAAAACGCACTTAGGCAAAGAAGAACTACCCACCCAACTGCGCACTGATGATATCTTCTCGTGTGGTGACGAAACGTTTGCAAGCCCATTGCCAAGCTCGGCGAACAGATCAACAGCCACCTGATCAACAACCAATTAACTCACCCGAGCTACCAATATTTCAACACATGGCGTAGTCTTATATGAACTAAATGCTCTACTTGAACGTGCAATGCAGTTCTATGTTTACCGACACTCTGCACGCATTTTTTAGCAATTGAACTATATGGGTTGGTAAAAGAACTCCGGGTAGACCTGTCATCCTAATAACCACGCTTGATGATACTACTCATGGTCTACACCTAGTCTGTTGTCTTGGTAACCGCTTACTACGTGCCACACAATCGTCAGAAATGCAGGTGGGCTTTTGAGACGTTAGTGTGCAAGTTTCCTTCTGGAGGTGTGCCTTGTTAATTTCAAATAAAAATTCAAGCCAGAACGATGAAGATGTGATCCATTTTCCACAGAAGCAAGTCGCGAGAGTAAAGTGACAATATCGAAACAGAAGCGTGATCATAGGGGATCGAACGAAATTTCCATGCAAACGA